TTGAGGAACTTCAAGCCTCTGAGTCTTTTTTCATTGGGGGTGTTACCTGGAACCCTGACTCCGCTATTGATCATGATACCTAGATGTTATTCTAAGTATGCTCTTTTTGAAACTAGGTTTGCCTATTGCCAAACACACAACTGGTTGTTAGTGTTCTTATTAAGAGCTAGCAATGGGAAATAAGTGAACAGAACCTAACTTTCTAGATTAACATCAAACTCTTTATTTTTGAGCCACACCAGCTGATATAAAGTTTAAGCTCATACAATGTTTCCAGTCTTCCAGTTCAATAGCGGAGTGGGTGTATGTAAATGTCATCATTTTGGCAATCAATCAAACTATTAAGGTCTGCTTAAAAGGACAAACGTTTTTTCTGTTATGCTGAATGGGGTGGTGATCTACTCTAGAGTCTTTCTCTCTGTGTTTTGTGTGTGTGTGTGTGTGTGTGTGTGTGTGTGTGTGTGTAGGGGACAGGGGTGATGGACAGAAAAAGGTGTTCCTTAGAGTTTAAGAAAATAATAATTTTCTTCTTTCAAATCAGGGTGTGGTGCACTTTTGTTCTCTTTATTGCAATGTAACAGAAGACGCAAAACTTTTTAAAACTGTATTTTTCTTTCCAGAATGTGATGTTGGCAGGGAAGAATGACAATGAAAGGGAAATAAGTTTGCCCCCTTCCCTCCCCCAAGACACAGATTTATTTTGCAGTTCCAAGGTCACAAAAGCAGACTATTGTGTCTAATCTTGACACAAGTTACCCATTCTAAAAGTAGCTGACAAGAAAGGATGAAAAATGCCTTGAAGATCCTTAAAAGGACTCATCATACTTTAAAGTGGCAACCTGGCACAAAACACTCAACAACATATTGGCATAAAAGACAGAAATGTTACAAACATTATTATAAAGTTTTTGTTTAATACCTATGATTTTGCAGACCTGTGTGAAACAAAACTTTAAAGTAGCTAAAAGATTGAATGGGTTTGAATAGTGTAAAACTGAATTTGAAACAGGATTATATACAAATGATGAACATATTATTGCCAAAATACATATTTTTTTGCTGAAATTTGAGACAGAAGAACAAGTGAAAAATTGTATAACACGGGCTAAAATATATTTTACAAATAGAACAATGCAAAAATATTTAGTTGATAGGTTGATGGGACTGAAATTTACATTATAAATAAATATTTTTTTTAATAAAACGATGTATTGTTGGTATATGCCACCAAAGAAATTGTCTAGAATGTATAAAGATACTTTACATTTATAATGGAAATGTGAACAACATGAAATAAAAAAAAATGAACCCATCTTTTGTATATCTGATACTGATTAGGAGAAAAATTTAGATAATGAAAAACGAGTTTTTCTTTTGTAACCACAGTGTTAATTGTATTTCCTGCAAAGATCAATGAGAGCTTCTTTTTTCTATTTCTTTCTATCTTTTCATTTTGCACTTTTGTCTTTTCTCTCTTTCTTTTCCTTTCTTCTTTTTCTTTTTTTGTTAGTTTTTAATGTTTAGGGACTACTAGAGCTACAAATATTCTCTTCTGTCAATATTTAGTTTTCTTGTACAGTATTTATTTAACAAAACTGGCTGCTATATCAATTATCATCAGGGAAACATGCTGTAAGAACTCTGATCTATGGCTTTTCATTGCAAATCTAGGTATATTTTTTTCAGAAATAAATCTTACTGAAATCAATGAAGCATATTTTCTAGTGAATATTGGTTCTTTGATAAATAGCAAAACTTCTGCATCTAAGTGGAAGATGATAGCTTAAAATGTCAGTTGAATGTTTTTCTCAAGTACAAAAATATATATTTGAATTGTAGAGGTGATTAATAGAGACCATCCAATGTCTAAGCAAACAGCTCTAACATATTCTCTCTTCTCAGCCGAAATGTCTTTTCAACATCATTTTTCTGAATCAATAGTAATCACCACCTCAGTTTTTCCTCCTCTCTCCATAAAGTATTTCAAGAAAATTATTCTCTTACACAAATTCCTGGCAAGTTGTCTGGCCAATAATTCTCACAGATGCAAAATTCCAGATTTCTGGCACACATGGAGAATCATCCTTTTTTTCTTCTTCTTTCCTATCCTGAGACAGATTTCATTGCAACGCCTCAGTAAGCTCTTTTTCATGACAACCTGCCCCTCACCGAATTCACCTCAGCCTCCTCAGTGCTTCTTCTGTCTCCTAAATTATTACTAAGTAAGACGGCAATTAGTGTTCAACAATTAAAATGATTTACTTACCGTATGTAACAGCCGGAGCATCTCCACATACCTGCGAAAAAGAGATGCAATTTTACAAAATGGCCAACCGCTAGAGCCGAATGAATCAAAGTGGAATGCACTACATTGTTCCTAAGAATTTTTAAAAGCTGATAGACTCACACTTTTTCTGATGACACAAGTTCCTGGGCAACAAGTTGTGCTCTGGATTGCCCTTCTTTCTGTGAAAAGCAAAACAAAGGAGGGTCAAGGTCTACAAGCAATTTGGATTCTTATATTATTATTCATACTAGTTGTCTCATACAATAAACATTGTAGGTTTTACACAAGTATAAAAGCCAAAATACAACACTGTGCAAGTTTACCACCCTGATCTAACATGTTTTCCTGAGATCTTTTCCAGGGCCACTCATCAAATACTACAGGTAGTTTTCAACCTATGACCACAACTGAACTCAAAATTTATGCTGCTTTTTTTTTAAAGTTTTTATTTCATTTTTCCCATTCAAGTTCATTCACAAGTATACATTTTATGGTTGCTATTTAACATTTGTCTAGTCATCATTACCGGTAATCTCTATATTTATTTTTACACAGACAGACAGACAGACAGACAGACAGACAGACAGACAGACAGACAG